AGGTCTGGGGACACAGGGGACACCGTCTTAAAGGGGCCGTGTCCCCAACAAGTCTGGGGACACGGCCTTAAAGGGGCAGTGTCCCAATCTTCCTGATGTCCCAAAAAAGGTGTTTAAAGGGCCAGCACCAGTCACATAAAGAGTCCATAAGCCCCAATATGCCCACCGACAGTCTTAAAGGGCCATACACACCAAATAAAAGTGCATACATTTTCACAATCTCCCAGGGGCCATAGTCATGCGGGAGGAGGCTGGCAAATAGGCTTCTCCACAACCCAGGGAAGCAGGGCAATTTGCCATTTAAAGGGCCCGTTACAAATAGCAGTTTGTAACAAGGTGTCAATCCATATCTGCCAAGTGACCCGATGTAGGGGGACCAGTCCCTATTCTGCTCTGTGTCAGTGTGTATCAGGGAACCTTAGGACAGGTGTCAATCCATATCTGCCAAGTGACCCGATGTAGGGGGAACAGTCCCTATTCTGCTCTGTGTCAGTGTGTATCAGGGATCCTTAGGACAGGTGTCAATCCATATCTGCCAAGTGACCCTATGTAGGGGGACCAGTCTCTATTCTGCTCTGTGTCCGTGTGCATCAGGGGCTCTGAGGACAGGTGTCAATCCATATGTCAAGGTGTCAATATGTCATATGTCAGGTGTCAATCCATATTGATTGTGATTTAGGAATGTTAGGTGATTTCTGCCCTTTATGGATTAAAACCAGACTCTGTATCAACTGTGTAATTTTCCATGGGAGTTTTGCCATGGATCCCCCTCCGGCATGCCACAGTCCAGGTGTTAGTCCCCTTGAAACAACTTTTCCATCCCTATTGTGGCCAGAAAGAGTCCCTGTGTGTTTTAAAATTCGCCTCCCCATTGAAGTCAATGGCGTTTCGGGCGGTTCGCGAACATTTGCGGAAGTTCGCGTTCGCCGTTCGCGAACCGAAAATTTCGGGTTCGCGACATCACTAAATACAATTATTAGATATACATGATACTGTATTACTAAGAAATACTAGACTTTTGCATTTACTTTCAAACGAATTGCGATTTGTCCTAATTTTGAGCATTCAGTGAAATCCTGAATTCTGAAACACTCTATATAATCCCGAGAAAAATGAAATGCACAATGGATGAAAATTTTTATTTGTTTTGTGATTCAGAGCTCTGTCCATGGATCCAACAAAAGGTCTGATTGATGAAAAAAAAAATATAATAATAAAATGATTGATGGTCAGAAGACAGCCACTAAATGTTCATTTTATTCACAGATCAGGTGAGAAGTAATCACTCGAGGGAAAAAAAGAGGAGCAGTAAAAAAAAAATATCGATAAGTATATATATTTGTATAATATATAAATATCAACTTTTTTTTAACTGCTCCTCCTCTTTTTCACTCTATTGGTTACTCACTTGATCTGTGAACCAAACGTTAAGAAAATGCGCCTGTGAGTATACTGCAAAATTTAAACATGACTGCTGACCCATTACCATCCCATCGTTGCCCCAAATAAAACACTGGACACCTTTTAAGTGGATAAGGGCAACGGCCACAGCTTTATTAAACAGTAAAAACTTAATTCTTAATTCCTGCCAGCTGTTGGGTGAGGACCCAACAGGCAGTTCTCCTTCTTTGTTCGCCAAGAGCCCAATCCAGCCGTCGCTAGCCATCAGCCTTGCGACGACTGTCGTCTCCCCAAGGTGACCTTGCGTCATACTCCTTTCCTTTTCGCTTCCGCTGTCCAGGGAAAACCGCCACCGCGAAGCCAACCTGCCGCAGCCTGATCTGCGCCGGCTTCGCGCCCCCCGCAGACAGCGCCAATTCAATGCCTGACTGCAGCCCCACATTAAAGATGTCAAGCCCAATGGGGGTCAAATGAACTCCATCCTGACGCATCACATCCGAATTATTCCCTTCCAATTCAAAGTGTCGAATCACTATTCCACCCAAACTACGTACAAAGCGCGAAATAGCTACATTAATCTTACGCCTACAGCGTTCCAACGCCTTCCCATAACCTCCCACCTTCCACACCGGGCGGGGCACTATCTCTGACCTGATTAATGTCAAGTCATGAAAAAGCGCAAAACAGCGAGCTAGATCATGACGCATGTCGTGAATGAGATCCACCGACCTCCGTCGGCCAACGTCATTCCCGCCCGCATGCACTATCAGCGTCACTGGGCCAGTGACGCAGCGACTCAGCTGCTCGCACTCCCCGTACACCTGATCCCAACGTAACCCCTTCAATCCCCGCCAACGTACCCGAACTTCCTGAAACGGGAACCCCAAATTACATCCATGCGATCTGTCTTCCGCCCTCCTAGCCGCACAGTAAATATACGAATGCCCCAGGATCCACACATAACGAGGAACTTTGCCTACAAAACAAAGAATAACGGTTAAACCCACATGTCTACAGAAGCATACCATCACAGCAAATGAGGACGCACGTAAAGCTGGAACCGTCCTGACTCCCAGCGCCCCAGGCGCATTAGTGCCTCCTTCGGGAAACCCAGCTCGCTCGCCTGCGTCGCCGCTCCTATTCTAAAGGAATGTGAGGAATACCACCTGGGGTCCCCACCCAACCTGACAATGCAACTCCGCAAGAGGCTCGCAAATTGGAAACGGCTCAGTGAAGACCCATTAATATGGACCAGCAATGAGCCCTCCGCGCCACCCCTGGCGCCTAGGTAGGCCTGCAACAAGTACCCCGGACAAAATACACCCCCAGTAAGCCCGATACGTACCCTCGCTCCCAGGCCTGCCTGGTCCATCTTAGACCGCCGAATCACCAGAGTCACGCACTCCGGCGTCACTGAGACGTCGGAAAGCTTCAACGCTGACACCGAGTTCGCCCTGGGGGCCACCAGCTCACCGATCCGCAGCGCCCCAAAGAAGCACAATGAAAATGCCACCCTAAACAACAGTACCTCGTATGTAGAGCTACACACTTCCGGAAGAACTTCCAACAGCTGCAGCAGCATGGCCCCCGAGATCGGCCGCCTTTTGTAGGGAACGCGCCGCTTTTTCCACCCTTTTAGAATGCGGGACACACAGAAAGCCTTGGTGACATCTGACCAACCTAAAAAACGAAATAAAAAGGAGAGAGCAGCCAACGATTGTTCCGCCGCTGCAGCCGACCTACCTGCGGCACACAATGACTCCAAGAACGACAGCGTAATGGTCAATCTTCCGGAGTCAGACGCCGCCTCACCACTCCTACCCATGGCCCACCAGCGCTCCCAGATGGCGGAGTAAGCCCTCCAAGACGACTCAGATATGGACCCCCGAATCAATCGTCTCAAATGTCCGAAACCAGGTCCCACAAGTAAGGCGGACACGGGGTTCCCGTCAGCGCCGCCTCCGGAGCCGCCTCCCGAAAACGGTCCCACTGAAACCGAGAAAGAGAGTCAGCAATGACATTGTCTACCCCCGGCACATGCCTGGCTACCAACCACAAATTACATTGACGACAGAGTAGCACTAGACGCCTAAGCAATGCCAAAACCGGAGGGGACCCAGACGTGGAACGATTGATTACCTGAACCACACTCATGTTGTCCGTGTAAACAATCACCTTCCTGTGCGCTAAGCCCGCACCCCACAAGTCGACTGCAACCACAATTGGGAACAACTCTAGAAACGCCCGATTACCCATGAACTCCGAACCCCGCCATTTGGCCGGCCACTCCGCCGCACACCACTGCCCCCGAAAATAAGCCCCAAAACCTATGGACCCCGATGCATCAGTAAACAAGTCCAACTCCTCGTTAGACACCTCCGAACGCAACCAACAAGAATGACCATTATACGTACCCAAAAAAGCGCTCCACACCTGCAAGTCCGACCACAGCCTACTTGTAATCCGAATAAAATGAAACGGCTGTACAACCCCCACCGTAGCCAAGGACAAGCGTCGACAGAACGCACGGCCCATGGACAGAACACGACAAGCAAAGTTCAGGTGCCCCAAAAGCGATTGCATCAGCTGCAACTGTACTTTTTTGGAGCCCTTAACCCGGTCAACAAGGCAGAGTAACTGCCCCAGCTTCTCCTCTGGTAATCGAAAGACCATCTCACAAGAGTCAATCTCGATCCCCAAATAAGCCAACTTATTCACCGGCCCGAACGTCTTGCTTGCCGCCACCGGTACACCAAACTCTGACGTAATCTGCCGAAAAGCCCTTAACAACACCGCACAGTCGTCGGAAGCTCCCGACCCGACAAACAAAAAATCATCCAGGTAGTGGGTCAACGTGGACAAACCCGACACCTGTGACACCACCCATTCCAAGAATGTCGCAAACATCTCGAAGTAGGCGCAGGAAATAGCACACCCCATGGGCAAGCACATGTCATAAAAGAACAAACCATTAAATTGACAACCCAGGAGGTGGAAACAGTCAGGGTGAACCGGAAGCAAACGAAAAGCCGACTCAATGTCCGATTTGGCGAGCAACGCCCCGGACCCTGCATCTCTCACTAACTCCAGAGCCCTGTCAAATGAAGCATAGCGCACCCTGGATACCTCTTTGTCAATATCGTCATTCACTGATCCACCAGTTGGATAGGACAGGTGATGAATGAGACGAAAGACGCCAGGCTCCTTTTTAGGGACCAAGCCCAGGGGCGACACTCGCAGGTTAACAAACGGGGGCTCAGAAAACGGTCCTGCCATGCGGCCCAAGGACACCTCTTTTTCCAACTTCTGTCCCAAAATATCCTCTTTTCCCGAAACCGAACGCAAATTGCCCGCAAACGACGGTGCCTCAGACAAAACAAAAGGAATCCAAAACCAAAATAAAAACCCGTCCAATAAAATACCCGCGTCCCGCCGTTTAGGATACCGGTCGAGCCACAGGCGCATCTTTTCAACGCTCACCGGCGTCTTCCTGTCTAGGAACGTCCTTGGGGCGCACCCCTGACTTCCCCTTTTTAAAACAGCGCACAGCGGGGTGTGCTCCGCCACAGTGCGAACACACATGCCGGAACCTGCCTTACCCGCGCCGGAAGAGAAGGGCGCGGGCTGCGCGACCTTCCGGCCGGGTTCCCGCCATCACGATCTCCGCCATCTTGGGGCCCGGACGCAGCAAGTACCTGTCCGGCCCTCCTCCGCCTCCGGCTGGTCACACTGCGCGCCGGCAATCGCCCGGCATCGCCGCTCCCCTCCTCGGACCGCTGGGCACTCCTCCCGCCGCTCCTCCGCACAGGACTTGGAGACAAACGTGACGGAGGTCTCGACCTCCTGGCCCTCCGCCCGCTTAACGACACCTCAGCTCCCTCTGGCCGATCCAGACGTCCTCCTGCAGCCTGCCGCACTTGAGACAGCACCTGTTCCAAGGAGCCATGGGACTCTTGGTAAGCTGCCATCATTTTTACTAATTCCTCCAGCGATGGGATGGCCATATTGAAGCTTGTTCCTCACTTAGTCAAGATCTATTGATTTTTGTTTTTGCAGGCCCAGGTATTCCCCAACAGACACGAGAAAAGCAACTCCAGAAGAAAAGTACAGTCAGCGATAAAAATTAAACCAGGGTGACTGACTATCTCCTTCTGACTGGTAAGTCTCCTCCCTTGCTTCCCCTTTTTGAATCCTTCCATCTTTGCAACATTGTTGCTACCATTGTACCATCCCACTATCCTGGGCAGCAGTCATGCTCCCCCTTCCTTATTTGTCCAGGGGGACACTTAATATTTATATTTTGCAGTACACTGATTGGACAATTTTCCCTGAAACGCTTACTTGGGCGAAATTCATTTGAACCAAAGCTCTACATGGATGAAATCCAAATAATCAACAACTATTTTATTTTCCAGAGAAACCAAATTTTTTTCCAGTGCACAAGTCAATTAAATAATGTTATTAGGCTCCCGATCACTCAATAAGATTCCAGTAAGGAAATATTAAATTATCACACATTTACCAAACACCATTCTCAAATTCTGACTTGTTTTACACCTGTTTAGTTCTATTTAACAATCTACTTGAATTCACATGACTGGAGGTCATAAAACTATTTTCCTTAAATAAATACAATTACATAGGTTTAATCTTTAATACATAGGTTTAATATCCTATATTATGTACAAATATTATATTGCTTCCATAATGACTCTACAATGTATAATAATGCAGGTTCACAGCCATTGTTCTGTGGCTGTATACCTACTTTTTTTAATTTCCAATATGTGGAAACATGGAAGAATGCTGAAAAACACAATTTCTAATGTGTTTTCCAAAGCCCTGATGCTGGAGTTTATGTTGAACTAAAATGAGTATTTTTGGTAAGTTGCTAAACCTTTCATTAAACTCTTTGGGGAGTTTGCTCATAAAATTGACGTTCCATGCCATCCTCCATAAAGTGGAGATTGTCAGGATGGCATGAAATGTTCTACAATTTTTGTGTGATCAATCTGGGTTAAATCCCTATTCACCTTAGATACCTGGGTATCAATCCATTCCTGAGGCTCTCCTCTGTAAACGTGTGCCAAGTTTAGTGGCCCCAGACTGACAGATGAGCTGTATACAGTGCTCAAAGGTAGCGCTGCATATAGTCCTTGAAATGTCATTTAAAATACCCCTGGCTGAAACATGGTGTGAGCAGGGTTTACTACAATATTAATTGATACCTGATGCCCCCCCTTTCACCTGGGATCACAGTTAATGGCCCTAGTCTGACTGATGATTTATTTGCATTACCATGACTTATGCGATCATACTCATTGATTCTCAGGCTGCAAACAATCTGAGGGAGATCGACAGGGTTAGTTTTTGTGTAGAGTATGGTTTAACATATACCATTACATCAGTTGAGTATCTTATACATCAATTTAATATCATGTATTATGTCAAAACATGGTATTGCTTTTGTAATAACTCTGCAAGGTATATCAACTTAGGTTCCCAGCCATCTAATTGTGGCTGTATACCTACTTTTTCTCATTTCCAATGTGTGGAAAAAATGCTAGATTAGGGTTAATACTGTTTTAAAGTTAGGGAAAGAGTAGTATTAAGGATAGATGTAAGCTTGGGGTAGATGTATGGTTAAAGGTAGTGTAAGCATAGGGTTAAGGGTAGGGTTGATATAGAGTTGTGGGGGGGGGTTGGTAAAGTGTTAATTTTAGTTAGAAAAACTATTGTAGGTCCTAGATATATGAAGCATTTAACAATCAAGATTGATATGTGAATCTATTTTGACTTTTTTTTTGTAAGTTGCAATTAACATGTAAATGTTATAAGCAGTGACAAAATGTGTTTTTTTTCTCATTGATTTCCATTTTTAACTTTTTATTTATACTTAGGCCTTAATTTAATATGTTTGGATACACTTTTCAAAAGATTTAATATTTATGGACAAACATTTAAAATTATTTCAAAATATTAAAATACAAAACATATATCACATATAAAAAATATCAAGATATTGAAGAAAATCTAAATATTAAAGGAACACTATGGGGTCAGGAACACAAACATATATTCCTGACCCAATAGTATTAAAAACACCATCTAGCCCCCTGGCCTCTCCTTGCCCCCTACATATAGTAAAATCTTACTTTTATTCCAGTCTGCTGCAGCTGGCCCTGCTTCAAAACAGTAAAACATATCCCAACAATGATATCGTCAGTGAAACAATGATATCGTCAGTAGTTTGTGTGTGAAAAATTACAAAAATGGCACTTTCATTGACGATATGTTTTGAAATATATATATATATATCTGAAGAAAGTCTGTATGGGGGACTGAAACGTTGATCCTGTTTTTAACCTTTTTGGAATAAAAGCAAATTTTTATCGAAAGACCGTGAGTGCAGCCATCTATTTGCATATTATATATAGAAACATATATGTATTTATAACGTCATTCTAAATGTATTTTGATTTAAATATATATGTATATTAATATCAAAATACAGTTAGAACAAATTTAAACTAATATATAATTTTTTTTAATGTAATTTTATTTTTTTCATTTTTTTCTATTTATTTATTATTTTTACATATATATATATATATATATATATATTAAAATACACTTAGAATAATGCATTGTGTATGTATATATAAAAGTACTTAGATCATATATATATATGTACACATATATATATATATATGATCTAAGTACTTTTATATAATTTAAAACTATTTTACAACTTTTATTAACTTTTAAAACTTTTGTACAGGCTCTAGGGGGACTGCTTGAGAGCTCAGGCAGTACCCCTGCAGGCACTGAAAAAGCCAGCTATTCCGGCCATGGGATCGCAAGGAACAGCAAATGCCAGCGATCAGGTAAGTGCATATTTGCCGCAGATGTAGTAAAGCAAAACCTATAATTTGTACTATGTGTTTGTTCCACCTAACTTAAAGGTTTCCCTTTAAATGCCCCTAATCATCTTTATATGGTGTCTTTAACCCCTTAACGACCGTACTAGGTACGTCTGACAAAAAAACGGTTGTTAAGGACCACGGACGTACCTAGCAGGCCCGGACTGGCCATCGGGCATACCGGGCAAATGCCCGGTGGGCCGCGATGGCCGTGGGGCCGAGGCCGGCAGGGAGATCACAGGATCTCCCCGGCCGGCCCCTGCAGGGCCAGCGCTATCCGAGCGCCGGCCCTGCATAGTGCCTCCATGGGCCGGTGGGGAGATCACAGATCTCCCTCACCGTCCCAGAGGCAGTGTTACAGGCGGCCGCCGGCTGGGGTGGGAGGTAGGGAGGAGAGAGGACCCGGCAGAGCTCTAACAAGCAGCTCCGCCCGGTCCTCTCGCGGGATTCTGAGCGTTGCCGCGGTTACCGTTGCCGCGGCAACGCTCAATCTCGCGAGAGTGAACTCTAACCTGCAGGTTAGAGTTCACTCTCACCACTGGACCACCAGGGAAGGCAGCATGGTCCCCTCAAGGCTCCCCCTCCCAGGCAGAACGGCTCCCTCCCCCTCCCAGGCTAAAGGTAAGAAGGGAGGGGGACATAACTTTTTTTTAAAAATTATTAATTATAACAATATTATAATTATTAATAAAATAAAAAATATATATTTCAAATAATTTCCCTAACAGCCCCCCCAGACACACACAGCCCCCACAGACACACACAGCACCCCACAGACACACACAGCACCCCACAGACACACACAGCACCCCACAGACACACACAGCTCCCCACAGACACACACAGCTCCCCACAGACACACACAGCACCCACAGACACACACAGCCCCCAGACACACACACAGCACCCCCAGACACACACAGCACCCCCCAGACACACACACAGCACCCCACAGACACACACAGCCCCCAGACACACACAGCACCCCACAGACACACACACAGCACCCCACAGACACACACACAGCCCCCCAGACACACACAGCACCCAGACACACACAGCACCCCACACACACACACAGCCCCCCACACACACACACAGCACCCCACAGACACACACACACACACCCCACAGACACACACAGCACCCCACAGACACACACAGCACCCTCAGACACACACAACACCCTCAGACAGACAGCACCCTCACTCCCACACATATACAGCACATATATTATATAAAAAAAACCCTCAGTGAGTTAACAGACAAATAAAATTAGAAACCCAGAATGTGACGGCAGATAAAAACACCCTCACACACAGCACCCCTCTTACACAAACACGCTGCGCACCTCACACATACAATACGTCCAAATATATTTTTTATATATATATATATATATATACATATATACACACAAAAATCAAAACTGAGGATGCACTCACAGGACTTGGTTAAAGTGAAAAAAGGGACTTTTAATTATTCCATGTGAAATGTACAGAAAAATCAATTTTCCATTCACATGGAATAATTAAAAGTCCCTTTTTTTACTTAAACCAAGTCTTGTGAGTGCATCCTCAGTTTTGATTTTTGTATATTTCTGACGTTTGGGATATAGCACCCAGGCTAATAGTTCTTTCTTATTACTTAAAGGAGAGTGCCAAGCATCCTGTTTTTTTGAGATTATATATATATATATATATATATATATATATATACACACACACACACACACACACTACAGCACCCCTCACACTGCACCACTACACACATTACGCTCCAGATACACGCTAGATCCCTTACCCTATATGCACTCTTAATCCTCTACACACACACACACAATCTTCTATACACACTCTGGGTCCTTTACACACCAGATCTCTTACACACACACACTGCACCACCTACACACACACTACATTCCTTGTAAGCAAACACATACAACATTATCTAAATACACCCTCTCTACACACAGTAGTGTGTGTGTATAAGTGACACACACTACATCACCTATACACACACACTACTGCCGTATGCACACACTCGCTACATCCCCTATAACACTATGCCCCTATACACGCACTCTCTACAGCCCCTAGCCACACATATTACACCACAAAATTGACCTATTTACACAATACCACACCACACTCTACACACAGGCAATCCCACAAGCATGCGCCAAACACATGCACCATACACTTTCCTGGCCCTTTTGTCCTCTGGTATCCCACTTGTGGAGACACCAGAGACAATTTAAAAGCAAACACAGCGCAAGCATGTTATTACATTTGCTTGCGCTGCGCAGAACAAATACAGGGCCTTTTTCTAATGCTAGAGCTCTTCAGCGGGGCTCTGCGCATTGAACCAACATGCTCACTTTCTCTGGCGCCGCCCCCTTTTTGGGGGGCCGCTCTAATTGAAAAATGCCCGGGCCTAATTTTTTCCCCAGTCCGGCCCTGGTACCTAGTACGGTCATTAAGGGGTTAAAGACACCATATAAAGATGATTAGGGGCATTTAAGGGGAAACCTTTAAGTTAGGTGAAACAAACACATAGTACAAATTCTAGGTTTTGTTTTGGTTTTGAAGTTTGACAATTGCCTCGATCCTTAAGGAGTTAAGAAAAGTTACCAGTGCCATTGGTGACTTTCTCATCACAGCAGTTATTACAATGATAACTGCAATACAAGAGAGAGGATGAATAATTGTGGCCTTTTGTAGAAATCCTAACACATCTTAACTGATCAATATTTGTTAGAAATGTTAAAATTTGACTAACGTTATTGCAATTATACACTATATAAATATTCTTCTATAACTTAAACATCTTAGCAAAAAGTTTGTATTCGTATATGTGCATAAACTTGTTATCAGATTTCCGTATGTAATAAATAAGTGCTCCTATACACATTATACGTGTATTGAATTATTACTTCATATTTGAACTAAAGCAAATTTGCAGCAGCCGTTTATTGTCTTACACTTGACACTGCAAAAATATTTGTGAAAGATTTATATATGATATATTTATTGCCCAGCCACACTTCTCAGTCTTACTGAATAATAATGTTTTCCAGGAATATATTAAGTATTAAGAAAATAAAAAAGATGACCCTGCTCCCTCTTGGACAATGCATCACGTAATCATGTGTAAACTGAAAGTCAAACATGAGCAAAAAACTAAATCTTTTAGCCAAGGGAGCATGTAAATCATGATAATGTATATCATTAACATGGTGAAACAAAAAAAAAAGAAAACAAAAGTGGTGAGTAATAAAAAGTGTATTGTGTAGTGTGTGTGAATAACAACTCAGGATATGTATAAAGCTAGAATTGTGCATGTGGAAAAACATAGCTCGGCTGAATCACTCTGTCTGCAAATAATAAAAAATGTTTAGGTAGTTCAGTAGTTGCCTATGTGCCAGGTCGACTTCTCCGAACATCGTCAATGCCAAAATATTCAGAACAAAATATTCAGGCAAACCAAAAGTTTTCAAAAATTTGGACAAGGTTGAATTTTGGCCATATGGAGATTCGGCTCATTCAAAATTGTTAACTAACATGGCAATTAAATGACACTGGGAACTACCACTCTTTATAATGTTAAAACACATCCATTTTTCCCATGCTAATATATTTTTCAATTGTTTTAAACATTTGGAAAGGCGCACCTTTATAACTGAAATTTAGAATATAGCTGGCTTTTGACTGACAATTATTTGTATTTATATTTATTGGGACTGAGACCAGAAAAAATATATGCTATTAACCATTTTTAATGTCATATTCACTAAAAACATTGCCGTCAGTGTTACACAGATACACTCTATTACATGTCAAATAATTTTTAGAACAATTCAAAAATACATTGTTTTTGTGACTTGAACATGAAATTTCACATATGTTGCTGTTATTAAATATAATAAGTAATAGATATTATTTATCCTCTGTTTCCACTTCCATTGTTCACTTTGCACTTTTTAGTGTGTCTGTTTTTTCACTTGATAGAAGAGTGCACTTTATAGTTTCACTTTGCACCTTAGATATTGTATTTGATATTTAGCACTTTTTGGGGGGTTACCGTTATTCCCTTACCTGGGATGAATCTCCAGTTTGAAGACACCTAAAATTGCTGTTTACTCCAGCTTGTAGAACCATCTGAGCTCATGCCTGATAAAGTTTGACAGTATTTACATAGTCTGTGTACAGAACAGCTGTTTTGTTTGAAATACACTGAGTTGTGTCTAATTCTTAATGGGTAATATAATAACAATTGTTTTTAGTCATTCAGGGGTATATAGAAAACAACTCTGACTTTGAATACAACTTGAACTCAGGACACACATTTCCATAAAATTAGGAATTTTGCCACTCATTGCCCTGTCAATGCGATCAATATCTCTACTGATACATCAAGATATGTTTCATATCTACAAACAAAGAACAAACAAAACTGTATTATTTTACTTATTTTGGACTAGGGTCAGTATTTATAGCAATATCAGTTGTCCAAATGGTGGTTTCCTGTATGCTATCAAAAAGTTATAATCAATGTGTCTTAGTCACAGAAATCTGCTGGTCAAAATATTAAAAATAACCTTATAATCTATGCAGCACCTGTACCTAACTCCTGGCTTCAAGCAATCTCTATTTTATGACTGACATCTATCACTCTGTGTCAATGTTTTTTTTTACTACAGGCATCAGAAACTCTACCCTCCCCTCACATTTTGTTTAACCCCTTAGTGACCAGACCATTTTTCAATATTCTTACCGTTAAGGACCAGGGCTGTTTTTACATTTCTGTGGTGTTTGTGTTTAGCTGTAATTTTCCTCTTACTCATTTACTGTACCCACACATATTATATACTGTTTTTCTCACTATTAAATGATCTTTCCTAAAGATACCATTATTTTCATAATATCATATAATTTACTATAAAACAAATTATAAAATATGATATTTTTTTTTAAAACACGCCTTTCTAACTTTCACCCCAAAATCTGTTACGCATCTATAACCGCCAAAAACACCCATGCTAAATCGTTTCTAAATTTTGTCCTGAGTTTAGAAATACCCAATGTTAACATGCTTTTTTTGCAAGTTATAGGGCTATAAGTACAAGTAGGACATTGCTTTTTCAAAATACATATTTTTATCTGTCATAAATCTCTGAATCACACCTTACATGTGCATATTACACCTTACATGTGCATAAGTAGACAACCCAAGGTATTCAATATGGGGTATGTCCAGTCTACATACGTCTGCGGTCCTTAAGGACCATTTTGTCGGACGGATCTAGTATGACTGCGGTCCTTAAGGAGTTAACCACAAATCCAATGCTTATCTGTTTATCTATTGTATTCATAGAACTCTGGGAGCAGCAGGTCATCAATATCTGGTGACTGAGAGTTTGAGAAGCTTGGTTGCCTACTCATAATAACTGAATACAAAAATACATTTATACTTGGGAATAGACTTTTGCACATTTAGGTTGTAGATTAAGTGAGAAGAAGTGACTAATAGAAAAAAGGAGTAGTAAAAATCTATATTTTTACATGTATATATTATATATTTATTATATTTAAAAATATAATTGTAGATATTTTTACCTGCTCCTCCTTTTTCACTCTATTGATGACTTCTTGGACCTGTGAATAATTACTGTCTCTCTCCTAACCATTCTTTTTTTCCCATCATTCTTAACTTTTTTGGTGCCACAGGCAGAATTCTTAATTAAAATGAACATGCACAAGTGTTTCTTCTACGATTAGTCTATATGGCGGTTTGGAAAATGGGAATTCCAACATTCATCTGAATTCTAACGATCACCCCAAGCTAAGATGAATTGCAGTTTATAACAAAACATATCTTCAAGTCTAGTTGAAAAATTACAATTGCCACATTCCTCAACACTATCACTTTTCTATGGTTGTCCTCATAATTCATATTGTGATGTCTTGTATCTCTTCTGTAATCTTTACATGACATTTTTTATTAAAGTAATATGTATACATTTTCATTGCCTTTTTTTTTTTTTTTGGAAACATGTAAGTGATCCAGGTTTGTAAGACTGTTCTGCATAATGTATGGTTTCTAAATGCTTTTGTCACTTTGCTTATATCACCTTTCCTTCTGACATAGGATTTTGTTGTTTGTATAAAGTAAAGAACTGTGCAACTTACAGCAAGCTTCCCTTCTGCATTCTAATAACTTTAAATACTCTGTCAACCTTTTTGCATATATTTGTCTCAGAG